ATCAGAGTGACTATATGCAAATTAACCCAACCAAGATGGCAGCCAGCAGCCACAGAGCTGGAGTGAGCAGGAGGCTTGCTTGCTCCAGTGATAGAGGAAGCCAGCCTGCCGACAGCTCTGAGCTCCACTGAAAAGCAACAAAATTTCAATTATAGAAGGTAAATAAACCCCAGATACCTGCTTTCAGCCAGCTGTGGCCACTGAGCTGGAGAGAGCAGGAGTGGGTTGCCCCTGGAAATGGAGGAAGCCAAGCTTTCTGCAAGCCTCCGCTAAAGGCAACAAAGTTTCAATTATAGAAGGTAAATAAATCCCAGAATAAAAAAAGAAAAGAAAAAAAGGAGAGGCTGGGAGCTTATGTCGCCAGGGTGCTTGGCCAGCCTGAAAACAGCCCTCAGCCCCTCATCCAGACTGGCCAGGCACCCCAGTGGAGACCCCCAACCCTAAAGAGGGTGTGGCCAACCTGAAAACAGCCATTAGCCCCTCACCCAGGCTGGCCAAACTTCATGGGGTGAGGGTCCCCACTGGGGTAGACATCCTCTGAGGGGTCAAACACTGCAAGAGGGCATAGGCCAGGCTGAGGAGACGCCTGAGTGCACAAATTTTTGTGCACCGGGCCTCTAGTTAAAAAATAAGTAAATTGAAATTAAAAAAAAGACTTACCTATTTGAATCATGGGGGAGCAGACGTGACCACAGCCCTCCCTGATGCACTGTTCTCCTTGCCCACAGTCCCTGCCTGCTCTGCCTTGGTGCTCGCAGATACCTGAGGAGAGGAAAGACTAGTTAAAAGCTTTTAAGTCTTACACTTGAAGAATAAAATTTTAAATGCCTTCACAGTATCATCCCAAAACCCATCAATTACCTAAGTATAACTCTAACAATTTATATTCAGAAAACTACATAGTATTACTAAGAAAAAATTTGAAAAGATCTTAATAAAGGGAGTCATATACTGACTTCATGGATTAGAAGATTCACAATCATGAACATATGAGTTTTCCTGATATTGAATGTAATTTCAATGAAAACCTTAGAAGGATTTTTAAATGAAAATTCAAAAACTAATACTAAAACTTATATGAAAGTCCTAAAAATCAAGAATAATCAAGACAATTTTTCCTGTTTTTTTTTTCAGTTACAGTTGACATACAATATTATATTAGTTTCAGATGTACAACATCGTGATTAAACATTTATATAACTTATAAAGTGTTCACCCTGAGTCGAGACAATCTAGAACAATGTTGTTGGGGTTGGGGGGCTGGTAAGGAGTGGAAGAAAAAGATGAAATTAGCTAATGTTATTATGACAATTACTCATAGTAGTTCACTTATAGATAATCATCCACAAAAAAAGAAGGGAGCAAAGGTAATACTTAAAGGTGTTACTATAAGAGAACTATTACAACAAAAATATAAACCTTTCTAAATACAAAACATATAGCAAGAGAGAGAGAAAGGGAGAGATTACACCACTAAAATAGGTTACACAGTGAAAGATCATCTAGGTAATAAAGAGGAAATAAAACCATAACAGTAAAAAGGTATAAATCACCCAATTAAAAGGAATTCTTATCTTTTATAGATACATACAGAAATAATCTATAATAATATAAGCATAATATGCTAATTAGACCGGATAATCCTTCCCGGCGACCTTCTGGACAACCTTCCGCACAAAGCCGAGGCTGCGAGGGAAGTCTGGGTTCCAGGTGTCAGAGGGAAGCCAGTGCCGGCAGCTGGGAGAAGGAAGGCTTACTCTTGCACGAATTTTGTGCATCAGGCCTCTAGTATCTAATAAAATAATGTCCGGATTGTCTTCAAAATAGCATGAGATGAGGAGAAATGAATGGGATTATCAAAGAAAAATGATTACACATTGACAGTGGTTGAAGCTGGGTGATGGGTATATGGTATATCATTATACTATTCTGTCTGCTTTGTATGTGTTTACATTTTCCTACAATAAAAAGTTTAAAACTAAAATATTTATCCTTACAAACAAAGCTCTATTAATTAATCTTGGATTAAAATAGAACATGTCAAATATCTCCCAGGTCCTGTAAGGACTGTGCCCCAGAGTGTATAACTCAGTGAGAAAGTCCTCGTGAAATAAAATAGTACATTTCCCAACTCCATAGCCAACATTCCCATTCTGATCTACTCACAGATTCCACACAGCCTGTCAAAACTGTTTGTGCTCCACCTATGCCTCACACACTGAGATTTGGTTAAATGATTATTTGGAGAAAGAAGGTGGAAATAGGCTTTCCGTGTAAACTGGGTTGGGAGAGCTGTTAAGTGCAATAGTGGACTGGTTTTTATTGGTTTATTGGTTCTATGGGTATCATTTTTTGTTTTCTCAATCACTTTGCAAGGAGTGGATATGACTTCCAAGAGAATAAGGATTTTGGTTCATTCGGTCAAAAGGCCCTTATTGGACCTGTGACTTTTTCTCAAAGTCAAGGGATCATTTGGAATTAAGAAACAAACTTTGTCCTGATCAGTATGGCTCAGGGGTTGAGCATCAACCTAGGAACCAGGAGGACACAGTTCGATTCCTGGTCAGGGCACATGCCCAGGTTATGGGCTGGATCCCCAGTGGGAAGGTATGCAGGAGACAGCCAATAGATGGATGTTTCTCTCTCATTGTTTCCATCTCTCTCTCTCCCTTTCCATTCCTCTCAAAAATCAATTAGAATATATTTTTTAAAAGGAAACAAGCTTTGAAAGGCATTGCCTCCAGGGATACCTTCCTACACCATCTGTTCACAGACTTCCAGAAGAGCAAAACCAGAGCAAGGGGAGCAGCCCAAGGAAGCAGACCTGATGCATGTGCTACGCCTTGAGTGTGCTCTGGAGCTTGGCATTGCAAGAAGGTAAATAAATAATCACAGAAAAAAGAGCACTTGGAAAAGTCTTTCTGAATTTCGGCTTTTACATGACTTCCTTGTCTAAAGTATGCATGCACAGATGGTGAGGGAAAAGACTCAGAAGCTACCTGGCCAGGCTGGAGGAAGTCTCAGATTTCTGTGACCCAACTACACACATAGGTACATTGCTGCTGTGTTAGGGAAGTGGGGCCAACTGTACTTCATGCCATAGAATTAGGGAATGATGGGTGGTCAGGAAGCCACACATACGCTGTACATGGGAGAGGCAACCAGCCAAGAGGTGATGAAGAGCTTTGGCTGACTGAAAAATGCCTAAAAAATATAAACACATAATCTTCATTTTTTTAAAAAAAATATGAGTGGGCAGGGGAATCCAAAAGGGTCCTGGAAAACGTTCCTTTAAAGCTTATAAAGCCAGTTGCAGATGACGGTGTGGAAAGAGAAAAGACCCAGTCAGTGCTCTTTTGCTCCACCTTCCCTGTCCTGCTGTTAAATATGAAACATAGATAATCCATATTTGTTTTTCTATTGAGACTGTAACACCTGACCAGGAGAGCCTGCCAGTGAACATCTTCCCTCTTTGGGAGAGAAGGTCAGCATGGCACAGGGCAGGGAGCATTTACCTAAAAGCCAAACCGACATGGAGGAGAGGACTGGCTCCTCTACCCATTAAGAGAGTTGGGCTTGGCTGGTTTTGCTCAGTGGTTGAGCATCGACCTATGTGTCAGCTGGTCATGGTTCCATTCCGATAGGGGCAGTTGCCCAGGTTGTGGGCTCAGTCCCCAGTGGGGGGCATGTGGGAAGCAACCAATTGATGATTCTCTCTCATCATTGATGTTTCTCTCTCTTTCCCTCAACCCCCTTCTCTCTGAAACCTTTAATAAAAACAAATTATTTAAAAAAGAGTGTATAGGTGGGCAAGTCATTTAGCTACTTGGACCCTCTGTCTCTTCATCTATAAAATTTACAAAAAAATTTGCTACTGAGATGGTATTATAGAGTTATGGTGAGTGTAAAGTGAGATACTACATGTGAAAGTGCCTGTGCATGGTGAGTGTTAATTATCCTACCCTAACATGTGGCTCCAAACTCTGGGTGACCACAGAGTCTGACACGTATGCATGAATACAGAACCTGTATAGACTTCAGGACTAACCAAAGGGCAGAAACCTAAGTGGACGTTGTAGGATGCCATCCTCAAGTATCTTTGCAGAGGAAGGTCATACCGTGGCATTCAGAATGGCAGATAGTAGGTGAAATTGTTTGAGAACATGTTATGGGTGTGCTCATGAGCCCCCAGTAATGACCAAGAGAGACAGAAGCATGTTGGGATTTGGGGTGTGGATGACCAGCCAGTGAAAGAAGATATCAAAGCTAATATGCCCTCATTCCAATGCACAGGCTGCTGAGGCCACGGGTCGCCGGAGTTATAAGATGTGCTAGACGGCAGGGACAAGCAGGCTTGGCAGACCATGGCAGAGGCTACGTGGGGCAATCGAGGTGGAAAAGTGAACAGAGAGCGCTGGGAGATGGAGCTTGTAGGGTCAGCCCAGACCATCGCTTTTTTCAGGGCTTCTTTGGGAGACCCAGGCTTAACCTCTGCCTCAGGAAAACTCTGAATCAAAGACTCCACCCACAGAGCCTAATTCCCAACTTATCCTAACTCCTAATCACTTCCCAGCCAACACCACTAAAAGCCCCACATCCCAATGGCCAGGGTGGCTCTCATAGTATTAGGCATCCAGTCCTGCTACATGTCAGTGTATTGCCTTAGAATAGAGTATCTCCAAATTTGTTTCTGCTCCTACTCCTTCTGAGTCTTGCCCTAATAAAGGCTGCGACTATAGGCCTGTTATGTGCTACAAGGTCATTTTTTTTCTTGACCAAAATCATATTCCCAGAATGCTTGAGGAAATATTATCATGCCCTTTGCCCTGTTTAGATACATGGACATGGAAGGAGGAAAGAAACTAGCTGGCAGACCTTGCCTCTGATCCATCCTGAGTGCCTCGTATTCATGGGCTCAGTACAGGGCACACAGTCCGTTCTGTTCATCCACAGAGGGTCCACTAGAAAGAATGTCTAAATGGGAAGAATGACACAGTCTCAATAATGCAACGGGTAAGATTTATTTTGGACACAAACTCCTCAGAATCGGCCACACCACCACTTTAGATCTTCATCTTTTGGTACTGCATGTCAAGAGATAGACACTTGCCAGGAAAGGTGTGTGGAAAATGTTACGCCAAGCACTGGATCCATGCATTCATGAGCAATCTTCTGGGGCTGGTCTCCAGGCAGGCTTACACCCCCCATTCTTCCTCCACATGGTCATCAACATGGTCATCAACACCACCCTTTTAAAATACAAATTTGATCATGACAATTCCTTTGCTCAGAAACCTCCAGCAGTCTATCAAACTCTTTGGCAAGGCAGCTCATTCCTTTCTGGACCCTGGCTTGGATGATCCTCTACTGAGATGTTGCAAATTCTACTGACCACATTCTCAATCACTTTCCCAACTCCAGCATAGGACCCACATTTCCCCATCATCTGTACTGCCCTTCCTTACTGTGGCAAACTTTATGCCTCCTTTAAGCTCTTCCTTAAATGTTCTCTACTCTCTGACAACCTTCCCAACCTCTACTGATCCACCCACCCAGGCAAAACCAATAACTATTACCTCCACAGACCTTAGTAGAAATTTGTGCAAAGCTGTGGTCACCCTGGGTTGTAATTATTTACATAGTTCTGTCTCCATGAACTAGCTGTGTTTACCTTTTCATCTCAACTTCAGCACAATGCCTGACTGACAGAGGAGATACTCCATAATTGGGGTTCTCTTTCCTTTCCCTCTGCCTCCCAGGATTACCCATTTTCTAGGAAGAGTGAAGCCCCCTTGGTGGGGAAGGGAAGGGGGGTGACAAACCCTGGGTCAATAATGACCTGTGAATCTAGGATCATGGTTACTTGTCTCAACTGAGAGCCCATCGGGGACAGAGACTGGGATAGGGCTTCTCTTTGATGAGAGGGTCTTAGATAGTGCAGCCAGGGGTCCTTCTCCCTTTCACTTCCAGCCTCTTTCTCTTGGAGTTACCCAGACTTCTGAGTGCAGTGGATATGTGAACATCCATCAGCCCCAGGAAAGTCCACTGGGGAGTAGTTAACACCCTTGTCAGCTCTTGACCGATTTATACTCACCACATGGATAGCAGGTTTGCATTGACGGCCACATCCGGTGCTGCAGCATTTCATTCCCCTGGGACATGAGTCATCTCCTCTGCAGCTTATAACACAAACACCAACGGTTCCCTTGGGCACCTTAGGGCAGACTCCAGGTCTGTTTCCCCCTGAAACATACAATGGTGTTTGTGGAGTTTGGAATAGTCACTAACCAGGTATAAAAACTGCTGTTAGAGGTTAACGGGCTCACTGCTGGCAGGACTCCCACCTCTTTCATTTCTTCCTTTTACTCCTGGACCCATCCCTCAGCCTTGGCAGCTTCACCCTCATACTGAAGCCCCCAATGTCACAGTCAGGCCCTTAGGAGAATGTTCTCCCAGCTGCATAGGCTGCCCAGTCCCAGCAGGCAAGAAACCTGCCCTGTCATAAGCCTCTTCTTTCCACCTTAGAAGAAGATATTAGAAACAGCTCTGATCCCAGAGATCCATCTTCCACCTCACACGTACCCCATATTCATCCCGGAGCTACTCCGTGTTGGAGCCCTACATCCAAGGCACATGTAGAGAGAGCCCCAACTATTAATAAGGCCCAACCTGATCTGATACGAAGAATGGGGCCCTGGCTGGTGTGGCTCAGTTTGTTGGAGCATCGCCCATATACTGAAAGTTTCGCAGTTTCAATCCCCATTTGGGGCATGTATGGTGGGCAACAAATTGATGTTCTCTCTCACTTTGATCTCTCTCTCTCTCTCTCTCTCTCTCTCTCTCTCTCTCTCTCTCTCTCTCTAAAATATCAATAAGCATATCTTCGGGTGAGAATTAAAAAATAGAAGAATGTGAAACGCAGGGTGATCACTCCTGAAGGTTAAAGAAAGTGGGTCTGATCAATGCCAAATCTCGACTCTGCAGCCTGTCCCTGTGCCACACCATCCCAGGTAAGAAGCTGAGCTTTGAGCCTCCTCTACTCTCAGGTAGGACCCCCTCAGCACCCTTACCTCCATGAGAATGTCTCTGAGCGAAGGCCATCTCCATCCCCAAGATGACAAAAGCCACTAAAACAAAGACTGTGCCTGTCTTCATGTTGGCCTTTGATGTGAATGCACACACTGAACCCAGCCCCAATTTATACCCTCAGTGACACCAGAGAGGAGTGTGAGGTGGGTCAGTAGAACAGGAAATGTACAGCATGATCTAGTTAGTTTGTTCTATTTCATAACTGGTTTCTCTATAATTATGTTGTGTTTTCTTGTAGATGCAAATCCAAACAGGAGAGTTCAGGCATTGCTACATCAAAATTTGGCAGTTTCTCTGGTGTCATTAGAAAAAGTGGCCAAAGAAATAAATTTTCTGTGTATGATTTAAAATTTCAGAGTAGGAGCATAAACTTTGAAGCTATGTGTTATTCCACCTGGTGCCTCCTGGAGATCCCGTTCCAGGATTCAGTGTGCTTCCAGGAGAGATGGTGAACGGGTTGTGCTTTGGAGACATCCCAGGGCTGCGATCCCCGTAGGAGTTGATAGAGGACCTCCCCTTCATCACAGGGTAGGTAGTGAGGTCGCTCATCTGAGGAGATGGATGTTCAAAGACCACAAGCTGGCAGGGCCCTTGGAGATGGAGAGACAGGGTCCACCCCTGATGGCTGGTTGTCTCTGAGCCCACCCTGCTCCATACTGAGAGGTCCCTAGAGAGAGGCCTGTGTGGGTGAGCTACAATGAGCTGAACTACAGGAAAAGACTGTTACAGAATTTCAGAGAAGGGGATATAGAGGTAAAACTCCAATGACTATAGGAATGAAGAGAAGCCTGCTTTGGCCTTGGGGGTCAGATCTGGGACAAGTACCTCATGAGCACCTGTGGGGAGGCCAGGATGAGGTACTCTGAGATCACAGGAACACTAAGTGAGCCAAGACAGGAGGACTCAGACCGGCCATCCCAGGTAGTTAGCTCACACCCAGCATTTCAGACTCTTTGGATGCTCAAAGGGTACAGCACCCAGGACCCCTCCATCTGAAGGAGGGACCAGGTTATCTGAAAAAGACATACAGCTCAGTACAGGGTGAGATCAATTGCCCAAGGCAGCACAGAGTACAACAAAGAACAAGCCCCAATGCAAACCCGAGATGTGTGGCCAGATGCCAGACTGCTAGTAGCATGGCCTTGGTGAGTGTGTGGGGCCAAGGTGCACAGCCCCAAAGAACTTGCAGGAGAGCCCTACAGAGCACTCTTGGTAAGGGGAGGACTCCCTAATCCCTCCCTAAAAGTGACTTAGACACAACTACTATCACTTAATTAACATAATATTTTTTAAAATTTTTCTCATGTGTTAGGTATGTATTTTTCTAAGTTTTTACCTATACTTTACATACACACACATATATATAACCAAATATGTATCTTTGCTGCAGAAATGAAGTTATATTTTACAGTATTGTTTTGCTTTATTTACTTAGCATTATCTTTTTTCAATATATTTTTTATTGATTGAGGAAGGAAGAGGGAGAGATAGATACATCAATGATGAGGGAGAATCATGGATCAGCTGCCTCCTGCATGCCCCCTAATAGGGATTGAGACTGAAACCTGGGCCTGTGCCCTGACCAGAAATCAAACCGTGACCTCCTGGTTCAGAGGTCGATGATCAACCATTGAGCAACACTGGCTGTGCTTAACATTATGTCTTGAAGAGATTTCCATGTTAGTATACCCCCCCTTTTAAAACAACTGCTATCTAATATTCTATTATATAAGTGATTCATAATTTATTTAAACATATTTCAATTGCTGAACATTTAGGAGATTTCGGTTTCATTAGCAATTTGCTGCTATATGCATGATATACTTTGTATATGCTTCTTTGTTTATATGTGTCAATATTTCCCCCTGAACAGATGCCTAAAGATGGAAATACAAAGGATATGTTTACTGTAGAGTTGGAAGATATTGCCAAATTGTCCTCCAAAAAGGCTGCACCCATTTACACTTCCTCCTGCAGTGAAGGAAGCACCGATTTCCCACATAATGACCTGATGAATTTGCATTCTTGCTTTCCCAAGTTAAAATTTTAATGCAATATTTCAAGGTGTATATTCCCATATTCCCCTTGGGATGTAACCCAGTTGGGAAGGCAAGGCAAAGAGCTCTCAAGACAGTTATGAAAAATATTTAATTAGTGGAAATTACATATGAAAATATAGTCTGGTATGTGCTACTCTAGCACACAGAGTTCCAAGGATGAAGCAAGGATGATTATGGCCTCTCCTGGTTTTGCTGATTCTGCAGTTTAAGAATGGGAGCTGCAAGGCTGCCAAGGACGCCTCCCTTCAACAACAACGATACTGGGCTCCATTAAGCCTGCGGTTACACATCAGGACCTGTGCCTGTATCACACCTGTCACCTCACCAAAGCCTCCTAAGCTGTGGGGTCGCTTCCATTGGCAACCACAGGTCACAGATGAAGGGACTGAGACTGGAAGGAAGCCCATGTTTTGCAAACACTTCGGCCCCATCTCAGACCCACCAATGGGGAACTGCCAATGGGGAAGTTCAGAAAAGCTCCACAAATGTTTTCATGTACATGGAAGTGAGGAGCACTTCACCTACCTGATAAAACCTTTATTTCTGTGAAGAGCTAAACAAAATGTCTCCATAAATAGTTGATTTCTAGTGACAGTCACAAAATTGGAAATCTGGCAAGTTCTCATGACATATTACCACTTGATAATATCCAGGTGTCTGAGGCAACCATCAGACATATATAAAAAATTAACTGAGGAACAATATAGAGGTTCCTCAAAAAAATTAAATATAGAATTACCACATAATCCAGCCATTCCACTTCTAGGTATATACCCCAAACAACTGGAAGCAGGATCTCAAAGAGCTGTTTGTACACTCATGTTTATAGCAGCATGATTCACACGCTAAACATGGAAACAACCCGAGTGTCCATGGCCAATAAATGGATAAGTGACATGTAGTATGTAAATATGAGGGAATATTATTTAGCCTTAAAAGGAAGGACATTCTCCAGTATGCCACCACATGGGTGAGCCTTAAGGACATCATGTCCAGTGAAACAAGCCAGTCACAAAAAGACAAGTATTGTGTGGTTCCACTTCTATGAAGTACTTAGAGTAGTCAGATCATAGAGACAGAAAGTATAAAGGTGGTTGCCAGGAGCTGGTGGGAGGAGAGAATGGGGAGTTATTGTATAATAGGTATAGAGTTTCACATTTGCAAGATGAAAAGAGTTATGGGGATGGGTGGTGGTGATGGCTACACAACAATATGAGTGGGTTTAATACCACTGAACTATAGGCTTAAAAATGAGTATGATGGGCCCAGGTTGCAGTCTTGATTGCCAGGTGGGGGTGTGCAGGAGGCAGCCAATCAATGATTCTCTCTCATCACTGAGGTTTTTATCTCCCTCTCCTCCCTTCCTCTCTCAAATCAAGAAAAATACATTTTTTAAAAGATAAATAAATCAAAATGGTTATGATGTTAAATTTTGTTATGTGTATTTTAATGCAATAAAAAACACATTAAGGGAAAAGTCTGAATCTAGTCATTGGAAATCCGTACATGTCCTCAGCCTACAAAACCTACCCTTTCTACATGTAGCCATTGAGCTCTTTTTCCCTTTTTTTTTTTTTTTTTTTTTTTTTCAGCCCAGCATGTGAGACCTGGGCTTAGGTTTTGGTATTTGGCTGCCAGGCCTGATGGGAGGAGATCAGACCCCAGGTTTCCTGCTCCCAACTCTTGGATAGAGGATGCTATAACCGCGAATGCACTTATTCTCGGATCCAGAGAGTCTGCTTGGAGAATGGGCTCATCTCCTGTGTGATTCAAGAACTTTTTTCACTTTTGGGGAGGAGAGGAACAGAGACTCTCAGCTACAGCTTTACACAAACACTGACTTCCTAAAGCGTCTGTTTCTCCTCCAGTGGAGTTTCCTTGTTTGAAAGGTGGAGTTTCTTACCCAAAGTCATCTGAGAGTCTGATCTTCTCTCTTCCAGTTTTTGTTTATTTCCTTCTTTGGGGCGACATGAATTAAATTCGCTTCACTTAGTGGGGGAAGACGGGAGTGGAGGAGTGCACCCTGAGACTCTTGCTCATCCCCCTTCCCATGAGGTCAGGCGCAGAGCAGCGCAGGCAATGACAATCAGTGGTTTTCTGAGCACTTATGCAATCTGAGGAGTGTCTTATTGTTTATGACATTTTAAAAGGGTCCTTATGAGCCAGTAGGAAATATGAATCTAAAGCCTTACAAATAGGCTGACTAAAGACTACAGGCCTTCCAGAGCGAACACACAAGGTCACCAAATGGCCCACAGCCAAGAAGTGGCAAAGCCTAAAGCCAACAGGATGTGTGCCTGTGCCCAGGCCTCAAGATCTCCACCTCCACAGATGCCAGTGCTTCTTACTGACCCAGGGAACTCAGGGAAAGTGCATATCTAGCACCAACACCTCACCTATTTCCTGGTTACCATTTAGTGAGCACTTGTTATGTGCAGGCACTGGGTTGGGTGCTTAACACAATCTCATTTAATCCTTAGAAAACACTGTGAGGCAGGAAATATCACCCCCATCCCCCTTTATTATCCCCATTTTTGAATGAGACACTGAGGTTGTGGGATTTAGCATAAAACCACAGATTTAGGAAAAGGAGGGGCCAGGGTTTCAATCGGGTCTTTGTGACTTTAAACCTCATTCTGGCCCAGCTGTGGCTCAGTGGTCTACCTATGAACCAGGAGGTCACAGTTCAACTCCCAGTCAGGGCATATGCCTGGGTTGTGGGGTTGATCTCCAGTGTGGTGCATGCAGAAGGCAGCGAATTGATTATTCTTTCTCATCATTGATCTCTCTCTCCTCTCTCTCTCTCTCTCTCTCTCTCTCTCTCTCTCTCTCTCTCTCTCTCTCTCTTTCTCCTTCCCTCTCTCCCTTCCTCCCTCCCTCCTCCTCCCTCCCTCCCTCCCTCTCTGAAATCAATAAAATATGTTAAAAAACAAAACCAAAAAACTCATTCTGCTGCCCAGTCTCTGTGGAGCTAGCAGCCATGTCCACCCATGAACCAGGGCAATGACGGCAGCCCCAGGAATAGCTGTCCCCGGTCAGAAGCCCCGTGGCCTCCTGTCTCAGTGCCTCAGGATGGTGC